GCTTCTGCAAAATTGAGTACCCCAAGCAGAGTCTCAGGGAGAGCATTTCTATAACGCTCTATTATATTATGAATACCCCATCTGATCAAAACCAACGGGGATGACAAATATTTTATTGATTCGCTCTCACGGATTTTTTGCTGCGCCCAGTTGATCGATTTCATCTTGAAGGTTTTCTTGTATCTCGACTAGCATCCGATGTAGTTTTTCCGACAACATAACCTACACAGCAAGTACACATCCCGACTCGAGACTTTCGAGGAACGTTCACACAGTGTTGGAGGAATTTAAGTTTGCTTCCCTCAGCTGAGCTCAAGATTCTCCTCACTGGACGATGGAGTTTCTGTACGAATTCAGATAGTGCGTATCCAGCAGAACTTTTGCATTGTCACGGTGACAATGTCACCAACACATGTAGTGTACCACATTCTCCAGGGATACGTTCAAATCGTTTGCTTTTCTCAACTGAGCTCATAGGCTTCTCCACTCTATCACGAAGATTTACACACGAATTCAGATTGAAGTGTGCAAAAACAAACTAGCATCTGCCGAAATCCCTTCAGAAATTTCGTATTGTCACTGACACATGTAGTTGACCATGTGCATATTTTCCCACACTGTTAATGAGTATCTACATAAAAACACTGATGTTGTCATGTTGACAGTCCATAAAGACAGCCTCCTTGGAACTAGTGCAGCCTTCGTATAATAATATTCTTATAGTTTGCTATAAGTTGAATAAATACATCAATGGAGTTTCGCCCGTGATATAAAAAACATAGTTCACATTTCACTTGGCGAAAAACGGGTGAAACTTCAATGCTAGTTCCGAGTTTTCCAAGAGAGGAAACAGACGTTCATAGTTTAAGTTCGTTCTCACCACTGCCGAGTGCTCCCAACCGAGAGATTTGGAATATATTCTTCGAAGATTCTCGACTAGACCGATGTCCAAGTCGCGCTGAAGGAAGGAAATACTCAACGACGAAATACATCGTGTGTGCCGATATGATATGCAAACGCGAAGAATGTGCGGTATGTATTTCGGGATTGATGATAGTGAACAACTTGTCGCTATCACATGTTCATACCAATGTTTACATTGTTTATGCGACGTTAATCTCGGAAAATAACACACATTTGCATCTCAGATTGACACGCACTGTACTCTCTCCCACAACAAGTCGTTATAAAAAACCCTTGAAACATTCATAACTTTCTGCCACTAACTTCATCCTTAACGAGAATTGCTGCCCCCAGTTCAGTCGAAAACCTACCTCTTTCGCACACACAATCGACGCCACTTGCAGTGCCTCATGTCCAAGGTCCACCTGACGAGCGGCGTGATAAAAAAATATGCATATCGTGAAGCGCTTCGCTCCGCTGCGCTACAATTCCATCATAAAACGCATGAATTTCACAAGTGCATGACCAACAGCTACGCTCTGCATTTAATGTGGTTGATTTTCCGCAGGCAAGAACGACCCCGGTTCGATCCCGGCAGTTGTCGTTTAACAGAATATATTGTGTAGCCGAACTAGGCTAGGATTGCATAACAAGTGTATTTTTTCCTGAGGCAGATTCATAAAATCAGCGTTCATCGTTTACGAGTAAGACTTCTAAGCTGAATCTTCAACAGAGCGTAAATATAATGACGAATTCAGTTAGACTAAACTAAGATGAACTGTCATTATATCTCCTTTCTCCTACCACTAACAGTGCAACTCACCCAAGCAGGATTGCGAAGTCGTCGTGTGAGAAATAATCCTACCGCTATCTCTGGCAGAAGAGGGCGAACGTCCTCAGACCACTTCAAACGCTCTGAAAGTTCTTGTGGAAAACTATCGCCTTTATACGATGGAGTTTCACTCGTTTTACGTGAAGTGGCGTGATACTTTGTGGAAAACGCAATATTGGCGCTATGCAATAGTCGTAGAATATATATATCTTCACTAGTGTTTTTCATATAAGGGGTGAAACTTCAATGAACAAAAATATGCACACAATCAACCACGCGTGTCGGCGACGATGTGAAAACTCAGAGAAAATTCTTGTACACGTCCACGCGTGTGAAAGCTTTGCGAGGAAACTCCTGAGCTCAGCATATCTTCCAACACTGCGATCATAGGAAACTTGGCGGAGGAGTGAGAATTCACATACGACCAAATTTCAATACAAAGTAATGACCGCAAAACTCACGATTTACCAACCTTTAGCATTAGCATAGTAGCGTAACCGCGCAACTGCTTGAAGTCGAACCTGCGCACTTATATCGACAAATACCACAATTAACGATCTGAACTTACCACTGCTAGAACAATACGTGGTGGATGCCTCACAGGGTCATCCATTAACTCGTCGAAATTGAATTTATACTCGTGAATATCTTGATGCACATTACTCATCACAGGATATAAAACGACACAAGTGAAATATGCATCTGCGGACCAAATACACTTATTGTTATTCGCCAAGGCAATTCTCTGCCGCAACAAGCAGGAGAACGAGACGGGGTTTCAAGGCAAAATACCATGTCTCGTCTCGCCGCCCGATCAACATTCTTTTGCGTGAAAAATTTAGAGAAAGTATACTCGAAGGCAATTTTTTCCTATGAAATTGCGTTAGCTGGCCTCCATTGCGATTTCTGTGAGCTATCTCTAGCGATTTCCGAATGAGCTGGTAATCCTCATTTCCATTCGACACCGGCCTTTTCCAAATGTAAGCTTTCTCTTCCTTCAAAGCACGGCGAGGGGCATACAGTACGCGAAGTCTACGCGAAACTGTCCGCAACCATGGAAAGCTTTGGAGTGAAGCTCCGGGAAAATAGCACTATAACCGTATTTTTCGCGCAAGCTGAACTTTTAAGAGCCGCTGATGAATATTCTGCCACTGGTCGAACCACGGACGGTTGGGGTACCGGAGGCCTGCAACGCAAGTGACCGCAGGCCTCCCTATCCCTCTCTCCTAAGGAGTTAGAATAATACATCTCAACGCGAGTGTAGGCTTGAAAGAAGTTCAACTCGTTGAGCAAATTCGAACCGAACGAATGCAGGAAGTGGGAAATGATTGCGGCTGAACAGGAGAGAAAGCAGGGGGGAATCAATTAGCCAGAATGAAACCTCTAGCCTCCGAGTTGTGGCAGGGCGCGTGTCGACTCTCGAGTGCCATCTGGGCACTGCGGAGGATGACACGCAAGGTACACTAAGGACACTCAGGATAGTAAGCTTCTGTCGTCAGCCACTGAAGCTTGCTACCTGGAGTGCTCCTAGGACCTACATCGGAGACCTCGGTTAAAAAATATCACGCTTAGCACATACACTACTCCAGGTTGTCAAGACAGTCTGGCTTGTGCGACTAGCTTGGCAGCTTGAAGGACTCAGGTTGTCGCCGTGTGCCGGCACCGATTGTGCCAATCGCTGTCCCAAACCAGGCTTCGCCGAAAGACAGCTCTCTGGCGCGGTTTCAATCGCGGAGAAGCTATGCTTTTCCTAAGCAGAAAGAATTGATAACCGCCCTCTCATTGTGTCACACTGTCTCCTTGTTCCTCAGTTTTTGTTTCGAACACAACTGTCCCTCGCTAGTAGTAGCTTGTACGTATTTCATAAACATGCATTAAGACACGTATTTCGATACGTTCTATTCTATCGCGCTTCCGCTCTCGTACAAGCCTATCACTACTCACTTGAGGTGTATTGAGTTCTATTATTAGGAGGCTACTATCCCTTCCAGGGATCTTCATCTCTATCTAGGAACTCCCTAGATAGAGATGAATCGGAAGTGCCCGGGGATGAGTGATGAGATGATAAGAACGTGGAAGTAAATAACAGTTACACTCGGTACGGCACACACTTAATATAGTAGTTGTGCGACTACGAGGGAGATGCATGTAATCAGGGTGACGAAAAATAGAGTACGAAGATCCACGAGAACGGGCTAATAAATGCAGCTACTCTCGGCACATGAACTGATCGCCCTTATGCAGGTTTTATTGAGTAAACAAAACACCCACAATCACCTGGAATCGCACTGCCGAAGTACGATAGTAAGCGAATGTAGTAAATCGCAACCACTAAATTAGTGGCACTAATACAGTTATGACTAATACGTCATACAACTAGCGCTAAGGGACAGCGGAAACAAGACGCAAGACGACAATAACACAATCAAATATATTCAGATATCATCATCTTGCTGCCCTTGCAATTCTTCACTTCATGCCGAAACCGGCACACCCTCTCTAACGAAACACACTCCATATTAGACGAGAAATCACTGCATCGAACATGTGTGTATGAAAGTAAGTATATGATTCCTCAACGAATAGCTATCTTCAAGTGAGGCGTTACTTCGCGGAGCTTTTCGGGTTTCTCAAAATCATATTCTTTCATATATCTAAAAATTCACGATTGATCGCGCCAGTGAAGTCTTCCGACTTTATCAATGCCCGACTCGGGCCGTCACCACCTGGCACGATACTGTCACACCTTTCGAGCACCTTTTTCGCCTGCGACCAATTACCGTGAGAATAGAAGTGGTAACTGGAAAAGAAGTAAAACACGTTTGGTTGGGCTGAAAAAAGCTAGAGGATTGCATAGCGAGCCACTGTATTAGCAGTCACATACGTAGTTCAGTTCGCGTACTTCTATACAGTGTGGATCAAATCGTTATGCAAACTCTCTCTATACTGTCTGAATCTCCCAAATTCAGAATTGAACTTCAACTGATATGAACATGATGACAGTGTGAATCGACTGACAACGTTCAAGCGTGATGGGGAATACAGCGCGTGCCAATTCGCTACACAAATGTGGAGATTGGGCGTTTTCTATTCCGGGATTATTGGAGTTTCCCCCGTTTTACGTAGCGGTGAGAACGCGATACTCGCGGTATGCAGTAGCCACGAAATATGTTTTTCACTAGTGTTTTTCATATCACGGGTGAAACTCCAATGAACTGTGATTTTCAATCACTGCGCGCACATAGGAAATTCTCCGCGGACCGACTCACGCTTGGCGCCATAAATTTCTGAGCTCATCAGTGTAGCCCTCTTGCAAGATCTGCACATCTTTGTCAACCTCGAACAACTAAAAACGACCATCATCAGCTGGTGCGATGTAACCACTCGCGACACTTACATGTTCAACCACATTCACATCGAAATTCTCAAGAACCCCATCCGTCCGAGGGATCACCTTCCCCACACGAGAATGATCTAATGCAAAACCTCGGCAAAAGACCGCCAAAGAATTCGCGCGCCCACTCTCGGGAGCCTCTGGCACTTGCGCATTGATATCGAATGAGTATATCCCACACTTGGTCTCTTTCTTAGGAGTTCTACCGACCTCGCCAACCATCACCTATAAGAGCGCTTTGACCCCGCGTCGCTTCACAGTTCATTGTTGGTACATGAAAAAGTGTGTTATATATCGGTAAGTATATCGAGATGACTATAATACTCAGTATACTACATTGCGTAAACATTGCTATGAACATGTGATGTGATATAAGTAACCTTTCGAGACTAGACACCACCGAAAAACTGCGTTAAAAATGACATCCGCGAGATCCGAACCCGCGCCTCCCACTTCGGACAGGAAAATTCACGAACGTCGCCCTTCTCCCAAAGGCCTAGTATCAGATCGACGATAACTTTGCAATAAACTCATCCCCACATGCGGCCTCCCGAACAAACTCTTATCGAGATTGTCGCATCCAACACACCACCCAATTTACGGTATAGCGATTGTCCCCGTGTCACAAATGTCTGTCTCCAATTCTAATCTACAGATGGATCCATTGCAAGTACATTGTAGATATATATATCAGGGCTATTCATAAAAAAATTAACTCGAAACTCTCATTTTTGGAAAAATTTACGCTTGCACGCCTATTCCTCCTCTCTAGACGACTGGTACTGTAACTGACGCTAGAGCATGTCTACACGAGATTTGCTATGTAAGCTGTTTTCATAAAGTCTATTACTTCTATCCACACTGAGTATACTCGAGTTCTAATCAATTCTACTACACGCTGAGCTTTCGGGCGGGCAAGCGTCAAAATTTCGCGGGAAGGAAATTTTGTCGCGGAAAATTTCGGAAACGATGGAAATGGAAATTTCCGTGTAAATCTGCGATGAAACCGGTATGCGACTGCGACCCGGGGGTAATGTGAGCCCAGTATACTCCGCGTACTTCCGGTATACTCCAGCGTGTCACACTCCCTCTCGGGCTTACCTCATCAATGAGCCGACATCTGTCTCTTGTCTTGTTGCCGAGATTCTCAACGACAGACTCCGTCAGAAGTAGACTGCAACCGTAGAGTGGTAGGGCTTTCAACTGAGAAATGATGATGTGACATCGAGAATTGCCGAGAATCAAGGATAAAGGGCCATTTGCAGTTATTCTCCGAGATTAATAGGAATCGATCTGTAACTATATCGCATGAACAGTGCTATGAACATGGGGTGTGATAAAAGTAACCTTTCGAGACTATGATAGCGACAAGTTGATCAAACACGTTTAGATTCCTCAGCTGAGCTCAAACACTTTCATCTCAACATCATAAAAACACACAGCTCGAGGTGATAAAAATATACAAAAACCGACTAGATTTTACCAAAAAAAATCCACAAAAATTTTTTCATATTTTCCCACACTGCTTACCAACGACCGAGCAACACTAACATTAAACCCGATATAGGTTGCGTCGATCTTCATTTCGCTTCCAATCGCACCTGTGAAAATTCCCGTCAGTTTTTTTCTTCCACACAAAATCGAATCACCTTCGACGCTCCAACCACTATGCAAAGCGATGCCGACATCCACTTGGTACGCTAGACCAAATTTTGGTATCAGTTTTGGGTGTTTCGCATAAGCTTTCAGATCTCCAGCTCGACGAATCTCCGCGATAATTTTTATGCAGCCCAGCAGAGCTCTTTCCGTCAGTTCTTTCTTCGCTTTCTCCCTCTGGTTGTTGATTTCTTTAAGACGAACAACTGATATCTTCCGCGGCATACTAAAAACAACCGGAGTTTATCAATCGATAATAATTCAATAATTTACTCTATGAAGTGGTTAACAACATAAAATTAATTTTCGAAATATTACAGGAAAATTTTTTTGCAAAAAATATTTAATTGTGATATGAAAAACGATATTTTTCTTGGCATACTGAGATTGGCAACGCCTCGCAGCGCCAGAAAGAATATAAACAGAGTAAAGGAGTCGATAATAATTCAATAATTTCCTCTATGAAGTGGTAAAGAACAAACAGAAAAATTTCGTAATATTACAGGAAGAAATTTTTTTGCTAAAATATTTAATTGTGATATGAAAAATGGTATTTCTCTTGGCATACTAAGAATAGCAACGCCTCGAATCATTAGCGAGTAGAGCAACCGGTAACGATTGGATGATTCACTCAATGGCGTAGTTGAGAATAGATGACATTTTCATATTATCACACGGAGGAAATTTTTCGGGAAAATATTAAATTCATTTGAAAAACACTGGTAAAAAAAGTCTCTTCATAAAAAACGCATCGATCCGGCGAAAAACGCGTGAAACATGTGAAATTTTTCACACGTGATCTGTGAGAAGTAATGCGCACTAAATAGGTAAATTTTCCGGAAAATTTTTTCGAATTTTTTCTTCCAAAACGCTGATCCCTGTTATTCATGTAAAGTACTATACTGAATTCTCGATAGCATCTCACCTCACATTGCCAGGAGTCGGTCTAGGCGTGTTCGCTGTTACTGCTGAGGAAGGATAATCAAACAGTGCAAATGTAGGCCTCAAAAACCATGGAATTTCACCACCCGTTTTACGTGAAGTGGCGTAATACTCTGTGAAAACCCGATGTTCTCGGTGATATGCAGTAGTTGTTAAATAGATCGTGTTTTTCATATCACTAGGGTGAAACTCCATTGACTCAAGGGTTTCATAACAGTGAAAAATACATTCCTAATGTGATGACATTTACATCGCAAATTCATCCTAGCTATGTGTAAAATTCCCGATGAATTCCTCTTCAGAACACGAATATCAGTTTTCTCGCTCTAACAGGATCAACGTCAAAAAAAATATTAAACACCTACGGCGGATCGACGCTGATGATATCCTCCTAGAAGCTGCGGCAGAGACGGTCTGACACAAAGCTCATTTTTGAATGTCTCCAACCCAGTATGGGAATATATACACATGGTCAACTACATGTGTTGGTAAAAATGAGGAAATTCTAAGGAAATATTGGTAAGTAATGGTTGTCCAAAATCATGTGTGGATTTCCATAACGTAGTGAGGAAACTTACGAGCTCAGCTGAGGCTGAGCTTTAAGTGGTTTTCAGCTTTTTCTTAAACTCTTGTCAATAACACTAATTCCACAGGCAGACCGGCCCAGGAACACCTCTTGTTCCACCTTATGAATATATTATACTATATTTGGTAATATCAGATAAAACCGAATTGATGATCTATTCACTATCATTATAATATTATCAGCTGAGGAAGCCAAACATATATTCCAACACTGCCCCAACCCGCGCCTTGCCTCAGCAACGACCTCAGAATGTTCCATCGGTGGTAACAACCACGTGAGCAAAAAACTGTCGCCGAGATTCTTGTTGGCAGCGCCTTGCCATTCGTCCGCGCAGTTGTGAACTATTCTTGCGATTTTATTTACGAATACCATCACCTGCTTGAAATTAGCATACAGTGTGTGTGAATTTGATATGATGCAAATGTGACGTGTTATTTTCCGAGATTAATAAGAATCGATGTGAAACTATATCGCATAAACAATGTAAACATTGCTATGAACATGTAATGTGATAAAAGTAACCTTTCGAGACTATGATAGCGACAAGTTGTTCACTATCATTAATCCCGGAATAGAAAACGCACATTCTTCACATTTGCATAGTATCAAATGCGCCTAATTCGGCTCCTACTTCCTCGAGAAGGCACTTCGCCGTATCATCGAATTGCCGTATGTCACAGTAAGCGTAGACCCCTTCCACCTGCGAAGATCGCTATATAAGAACGAATTCTACGGCGCTGCATTCTCATAGTATTTCCTGGATAGTTGACTTCCGACTTCATCATTTTCCGTGTTTCTCTCGCTTCGGAAAATATGTCTATTGGAATTCCACCCTAGTGATATGAAAAACATATTTCACGACTACTGCATTTCCGTTTTTCACCGAGTTTTACGCTACTTCACGTAAAACGGGTGAAACTCCATTGTATGTACATTGAAAATTAACACTAACATAAAACGCTGCTGAGGAGAACAATAAGTGCGCGAGTTACTAATCTCACCGGCTGGCCCGGCAACATCATATTCAACCCGCTTGTATGACGACTGCCACTATGCGAAAGTCACAAATTTCATAATCGTTTTCTATCCGTGTTCTTCTCGCACTTCACAAAATTCGTCAAGGGGCATCAACACAAGGAGACCGATGAATGGGCGAGTTGATAACAAACTCACTCGGCGGCCGGGCAACATCATATTCAAACCGCTTGAATTGCCACTGTCTTGACTCATATTGTTGCAGATGATCTGCGCGCCCGCTTGCCCGAATCCAACCTGGCACGATACGGGAAAATATGCACATAGTTGATGACAAGATGGAGCTTGTTCCTGAACACTCCCACCCTAATTCTTACTAAAAAGGAAACTCCTGAGCTCAGCTGAGGAAAGTGAATCCCCAGCTCGCAGTCCTCGGAGTTTCCTCACTGATAGCATGCGAGTTCAGTTAGGAGTATACCGATAAATCAACAGATATCTCCCAAAATTCTCTCATAATTTCCATACTATCACCAACACGTGTTTTCACCCAGAAAATAACTCCTGATGAAGCCACACGAGATCACATCGCCGAATAGTGTTTGAAGTGATGAATAAACTCTGACCCGCAGCAGCGAACCAATCCTCAATATAGTGCTCTCGAGCAAAGTAGTTTCCATATGCTTATCCTCGCTTCCTGTCTTCGCCAACCCTACCAGATGCCACCAAAAAATCAACTGCGATTTCTTAACAAAATTTCTCAGCTACTTCTCGTAGTCCTCCTGGTTGTCAATCGTTCATTATTCCCAGACTCCTCGGAGGAAGATCTAAGATTGCAGCGAGTCGTTATATTCAGGCGGCATATAGCGCAAGAGAACGAGAATAATACGGATAGTGAGAATCAATGGAGTTTCACCCGTTTTACGTGAAGTGACGTAATACTCTGTGAAAAACGCGTATTGGTGCTATGCAGTTCACTAGCGTTTCTCATATCACGGGTGAAGCTCCAACGAACCGCGCAGTGTTGGAATATATGATCGCGCTCCTAAGTTCAGCTCTGAAACGTCTTTATTAATTATAGGAGTTCATATGCAAACTAGGGTGGGAGTGTTCAGGAACAAACACAAATTCCCAGAATAAACAAGCACAAATTCCCAGAATAAACAAACACAAATTCCCAGAATAAACAAACACAAATTCCCAGAATAAACAAACACAAATTCCCAGAATAAACGAACACAAATTCCCAGAATAAACAAACACAAACACAGATTTCCTCAGAATTTCCATTTCGTCGCCGACACATGTAGTCAACTACGCGTATATCTTCCCACATCGGATAGGCTAATAAGAAGTTTAAATGTGATTGATCAAAACGCCTCGCAATAGTCATATTTCCAAATTCACGGGAGAGGGCATTCGCGACATGTGAATGCATATATGCCTCAGGAAGAGCAAATGCCAGAGAATAATTGTAAAAATAATTATAAATATTAAATTATAAATTATTAATATAATAATTGTGAATATTTCCGATTGATGAAGCTTATGGGAGAAGCAAGAAGCAACTCATAACTGAAAGCACCACTTCACAACGGTCCTATAGTGTAGTGGTTAGCACTCTGGACTTTGAATCCAGCGACTCGGGTTCAAATCCCGATAGGACCTATATGCACGTAATTTTCTTACCCGCGGAGACTTAACTCTTGCCAATAACACTAATTCTACTGGCAAATCGGCCCGGATACACCTCTTGTTCCACCTTATAAATATATTATACTCTATTTGGTAATATCAGATAAAACCGTATTAATGATCTATTCACTATCATTATAATATTATCAATGGAGTTTCCTCCGTTTTACTTGAAGTGGCTCAATACTCTGTGAAAAACGCGATAATTGCGGTATATAGTAGTAGTCTTAGAATATATTTTTCACCAGTGCTTTTCACATCACGGGTGAAACTCCAATATATACATTATATAAATCTGAGGGATACGATGATGATAGCCTTTATTAATAACTAAAACAGAGGGTTCCGAGTGAAGGGGTTGGATAAACCTAAGCTTGTGACGGGAGGAAGAAAAACAAACTAAACCGGTGGATCCCAAACGTTGATGACACAACTTATCGATCCTTGTGGTTGACGTGATGGGAGCCGGTCAGTGTTTATGACAACACACAAGTATGCTTGTGCGTGCGTACACAATAGGGCGAGCGATATCAGAACCAGCACGCACGAGAAAACGAGGCTGCCCTTGTTTGGAGCTCCTCCAGAGCGTGCACCCACGAGAGTGTCTCCAAGTAACTACTCATCTAATTCTATTCCTCTCGGGAGGGGAATAAAAAGCAACAAACTAAACCGGTGTACCCCAAACGTTGGCGACGAAACCCATCAATCTTGGTGGTTAACGTGATGGGAGCCGGGTTAGAATTCAATTAATTCTCCGACACGAGGACGATTCTTGTTGCCAAGCATGAGCACACTTTCAGAAATCGGAACCATACTCTCGGAACTAAAGCATTTAAACAACTTTCTCACCCGTCGTCGGAGCTTTCAGATTCCTTCTCGTCGTCCTCGGTCTCAGGTTTCCGAAGAGGATCATCTGCCAACTGTTTGACGATATTAACCATTTTCTCGATCGGCGCAATCACCACTTTCTGCGTGTCCGAACCTAAGTGGACTATGCTGCGCAGTATGGGAGAATGAATATTCACAACTAGATGTGTCGGTGACAATATGAAAATTCTTAGGAAATTTTGGGAATTTCTTGATACACTCGAGTTCATGTGTATATTCTTGAGGAAACTCGTGAGCTCAGCTGAGGAAAGCGAGTATATACTCACTGAAAACCATTGCTCCCAAACCCAGCAAGATGATAATCAGAGTAGTTTGCAACATCGACATTTTGGCTTCTTCTTGTTGACCTTTGCGGTCGAGAAACTTCGCATAGACGATCAGGTCTGCGCACGGCGACTCGGGATCTCTACAAATCGGCGGAATATAACTAACACACATAAACTTGAAAATACTGTCAACTCTCAAAAGATAAAACAAATAGAAGGGAGGAATACCACCAAGTATGTCTCCAAATTGACCAGAAAAATGCTAGAGTCCAAAAAATGATTACAGCCCAACAGGTTCAAAAAAAATCCTCAAACTGTTGAGCCCGAACGTGGTAAAGAACTGAAGATTCAAACAACAAGCTCTCACCTCTGATTTAATACTACATGTGATTCGCGAATCACACCGGACAAATGACTCCATATCACGTAAAACATGATATGTGTTTTACGCAAAGTGAAGTACTGTGTTTCTCATATCACTAGGGTGAAACCCCAATATAGTCTTATGCTATGATATAATACTAAAAATACAACTATACAGCAATGTGAGCAGTTCTGATTATCGCTCGCCCAATAATCTTTTTGCTCAGTAACGGTAAGATGCATTCTAGTAGTTGCTACGATAAACAAAAAACTAAGATTCGGTAATTATTTTGCTCTATGTCTACCGGATTGAGTCTAGTGGATTCGGGGAATCGTCGACCTCAGCGATCTTGCGTCGGTCTTGGTGTGGAGCGCTTTGCTGACTCTTCACAATTGAACAATAGAGTTTCATCCGTGATATGAAAAACAGTAGTGAAAAAGATATTTCACGACTACTACATACCGCAAATATCGCGTTTTTCACCGAGTTTTACGCCACTTCACGTAAAACGGGTGAAACTCCAATATATAGTAATTCCTATTTAAAAGACACTTTTCGCTCACCTGATTTCTCTGATCTCTGAGTCCCTCCACGGGCAGTCTTCACTTCCGACTTCGATACCACCAAACCCACACGTGGTATGAGCTCGCCAACAACAACATGGAGTCTTCACGCCGATACCTCGAAGACACCAAGGTTCGAACCCCGCACCTGCTGCCATTTCCACCGACAACATGTTTCAAATCCACCAGGAAGACCATTGTGAGGAATTTTAAAATCGAGATTGTATGTATTAGCCGTCGCAGGATGACAACGCGTCGTCTCAACGTACCTGAGATTAGCAGCAATCCGCACCGTGTTGGAGTAGGAATATATGTTTGCTCTTCTCAGCTGCGCTCAGGAATGAACACAGTCTTGGAGTAGGAATATATGTTCGCTTTCCTCAGCTGAGCTCAGGAGTGAACACAGTGTTGGAGTAGGAATATATGTTTGCTTTCCTCAGCTGAGCTCAGGAGTGAACACAGTGTTGGAGTAGGAATATATGTTTGCTTTCCTCAGCTACTGAGCTCAGGAGTGAACACAGTGTTGGAGTAGGAATATATGTTTGCTTTCCTCAGCTACTGAGCTCAGGAGTTTCCTCATTAGTTATAGAAATTCCGGTGGGAGTGTGCGGAAACCAATGGGAATTTACCTCAGAAATTTCATTCGATTCACATGAATTCATAATTAATATCATATTTCTCTACCCTAGTATTGTCTATACATAATTTTCCACTCCCCCGAGTTACGTTATGCCGCGGATTCTCCCCGGGGGGTCCGCCTCCAAGTCGGGGATTTCCAACCATAACAATGGTTGGTTCACCAGAGCATCTTTTCCCTCACTCGATCGGGACAACTGTGAGTATCTTCATCGATTGAGATCCAATAAAAACGTAAAAAATTGAAATTATTGTTAATCAATGGAATCCAATAAAAAATATATTCTAATTGTGTGCCGAAATTGAACTTCTCAAAATTTCGCAAAAAAACTTTTTCCGAAATGACGATAACCACTGCTCGGACTACTCGCAATATAAATTAACGATATGAATTAATGAATTGGTATTTTTCTTATACATCGATATGCGAGTACCTTCATAAATCGAGGCATTGAAATGTTATGCCAGTCTATTGAAGTTTCACAACCCGTTTTACGTGAAGTGGCGTATCGGTGAAAAACGCGATATTCGCGGCCTGTAGTAGTCGTAAAATATGCTTTTCATTAGTGTTTTCATATCACTAGGGTGGTGAAACTCCATTTCGAGTAGTGAATAACGCGTAAAACACGTGAAATTTGGTGATCTCTCAGGTACAATTCGAAATAAGTGTCTTCACTTCACTTTATATCGTGAAGTATTACGCCACTTTACGTAAAACGGGTAAAACTTTGTGACATGTACTATTTATACATACACATGTTAGAAACACTTTCACTTACTCATAAATCAAAAATTTCCAACCATCGAGGCTAAAATGAGCGTTCGCCAGAGAACTGTTACAACTGGTCGTGGTATTGCCTTGCGCTTGGAGAATGAAATCAGTCGCTGATCCTGAGGGCGGAGTACAGTGGAGTTTCACCCGTGATATGAAATACACTAGTGAAAAACATGTTTCACCTTTCACTTCACGAAAAACGAATAAAACAGGTGATGTGCTCTGTGAGATCCGTCCGGTGTAATTTGCAAAATATTTTCAATTCACTTTCGAGGGTGTTCAAATTTTCATATAAAATTGTCACTGACCACTGCTCACCACAGACGCTCCTGCCAGCCCAGAAGAGCTGTTCCAAGCCGGCCTCGAAAGCTAAATTAGTATCTTCTAATTCGATCAAGGGCAACACCAACATCATCGAAAGTACCTGATGATGTACATAATATATGAAGTCTCTATCTCGTATCACATATAATGGGTGTACATACATATACTATAACGATTATATGCCTATCTGTATACTTTATA